ACCTAACTCTGGGAAACGAACAAAGGGTAGTGGAAAGGGAAGTGGGCGGGGGGGGGGGGTAGGGGTGACTGGGTGACGGGCACTGAGGGGGCACTTGGCGGGATGAGCACTGGGTGTTATGCTATATGTTGGCAAATTAAACTCCAGTAATAAATAAATAAACAAACAAACAAAACAAAAAAACAAAATCGTCTCCAGATTGCACTCCGCATGGCTGAGCTCTCCGGGCTTCCCCCAAGTCCTGCTATATCCCAGGAAAACATTCTCCTATATTCCTTTTAACTACGTAAGCAAAAGCATGACAGTCGGTTGAAGAGCAGTGGAACGTCAGCCGCCTGACCCCTCTCAGATGACCCACGTGCCGGGGCAGGCGGTGTGGCCTGCACACCGGCTGCAGTCTTGCTCACAGGCAGCTTGCACACGGGGCTGGGACCGCCTCGCTCCCAGCTGCCAGTCACCTCGACTTCACCTTGACCGATACAGTGACTTAGCCAACAGGTCTTATGCACCTGCTGGGGGACAGAAAGGAGAGGAGTCCTCTCTGAGCCCTGTGGCCCTCTGAGAGGAAGGTGAGGTCTGCACTTTGAATGTCGCCTCTGGCCTCTGACACCAGAGGTCAAAGGACCTGAACATGGAGGTGCCAGGTGTCTTGTTCTGAATAAAAGGCCCCAGAGAGCAAAGAGACCTTTGAGCAGGAAGGATCCAGGCCTGAGCCCAACACTCTAACAGCTACGAGAGGTCTCTCTAAACCACGGAGCCCTCTGCTTTAAAATGGAAAAGAACAAGCCCGGGGATCCAAGGGCTGTGTGACAATTACGCGGCCCTGTCAGACGACTGGCACATACTAAACTGGCACCTACTCAACTAAAGTCTAATGAAAAGTAAACACAAAAACCCCACACATGATGAAAGGGGGTCCACCTGAAGCAAAGGAGGAGGGGGGCACCGGGACAGATGTCTTCAGGAAAATGGAAGAGCAGAACGGACGGCCACCGTTCCCACAGACAACCGGACTGCGCAGGACAGGTGCAGCAGCTGCCAAGCATCAACACTCACCATAAGACACAGGAACAATGAAACAAATGGAAAAAGGAAGCACTTCACAACAGGGAAAAGTGGAAAGCTGTACAAGAAAAAAAAAAAAAAGAAAGAAATCACAGTACCCTTCTTGAAGCAGCAGCTAAAAATATTTATATAACCAGAAAAATGAAGACCCTAGGGGTGCCTGAGTGGCTCAGTTGGTGAAGCATCTGCCTTGGGCTCAGGCCATGATCCAGGGATCCTGGGATCGAGTCCCATGTCGGGCTCCCTGCTCAGCGGGGAGTCTGCTTCTCCTTCCCCCTCTGCTGCTCCCCTTGCTTATGCTCTCTCTCTCTCTCTCTCTCTCTCTCTCTCTCTGTCAAATAAATAAATAAAAACTTAAAAAAAAAAAAAGACGACCCTAAATATAGATTTGGCAAGAATTGTGACAGAACGGACATGAGCCTAAAGAAAGACAAGGGAGAGCATAGAAAAAGCTAAAAACCCTCAGGTAACAGGACATCCAGTCACCACATAATATCCAAGAAATAAAAGCAAGTGGGCAAAGACAAGACACAGTTTTAAGTTGAATGTGGTTGTCAGGGAATCAGACAAGATAGAAAAGGCGTGTTTAGGGCCTGCAGATCTTAATCAGATTTTCAGCAATTTGACATATTAAAATACTAATAAGAATTACTTGGATTTTCTTAATTTTAAATAACAAGATCATAAAAACAAGTCAAAAGTTACTTTTTATGAGCTAAAAGATGTTAATCACATGATACCATAATGTCCCATAAACAGAAACGTGCTCAGCATTTCTACTTTAATGACCCCCGTCTGGCACTCTTCTGCCTTTTATTTGCCATAGTAGGACCTCATTTTACCCTCAAGCCTCATTACCTCAGTCAAGGGTCAACAATCAGATCCCCATCTTCTTCTTCTTTTTTTTTTTTTTTAAGATTGTATTTATTTGACAGAGAGAGAGCACAAGCTGGGGGAACAGCAGGCAGATGGAGAGGGAGAGCAAGAAACATCCTCCCCATGGAGCAGGGATCCCGACATGGGCCTGGATCCCAGGACCCCAGGACCATGACCTGAGCAGAAGGCAAGCGCTTAACCAACTGAGCCCCCCAGGCGCCCCTACTGTTTACTGTAGTAATGAATTCTTCGAATCCAGCAATATCAAGGTCCACAAGCTGTCCAAAATAAAGAAGGGCAAAAATCTGCTACTTCTTTTAAGATAAAGGAGAAACTCAGATAAAACATTTGATGCCCGAGGCAAAGATCCACTCCTTGATATTAATCCCAGGAAATGACATTTGTTACCTCAAGGATCCAACAATGAAGATCAAAACCTCCGGGTTATTTAGAAGATTTAATGAGATAGACAGTATTAGGCACACTGGAGGCAAACACACACTTTAGGAAGCACAAGCTCAGGAACCCTCCATCTCCGCATATGCCCCCACACACCTGCCCACACGTGCACCTTGTCCAGGAGAAGGCAGGGCAACTTTGTGGTTCAGGGGCCCTGAGGATGGCTTGGGTTTGAGGCTTCCCTAGATTAGAGTCCCAAGTCTCACCTGCTGGCCAGGCGGGCTATGCCCACACCACAGCATCCACAGGCAGGACTGAGAGAGTGAGATACGCCCGGGGACATCTCAAAAGCCGCTGTTACGGCACAGTCCTGGGTGATGGAGCCTGTGGGCAAGCCCCGTAACACAGCTCACCCTCACAGGACACTGACACCGCCTTATGCCTTGTACGGACTGATCCATGAGAACTTGGTCTCACGGTAATAATTAGAGCATTTCCTGAATGTTTATCAGGTGCCAGACGCTGTGCTAAGTGCTTGAAGTCACTGGATGGGCTCATTTAACCTTCCTAACGGCCACAGGGGATCCAGGTTCCTTTTCCCAGTTCATTGGCAAGGAATCTGAAGCCCAAAGTTACACAGACAGGAAGTGGTGAAGCCAGGACTGAAAGATTTTAGTTATGAGAGAGAGAGGGAGAGGGAGAGAGGAGAGGGAGAGAGGAGAGGGAGAGCGCACACGTGAGCAGGGCAGGGGCGAGGAGGGAGAATCTCGAGCAGGCTCCCCCACAATCGGGTTATCAGGTCCTACACGAGGCCGTGCTCCGGGCTTCTGGTCTCCGCGTCTGTCCGTAGGCGCCTTCAGGTCCTCGGAGGAGCTGAGGCCAACCCAGGGCCGCCCCCCCACCCCCCTCGGTGCACAGGCCTCCGGGTGCCCCCCCCCACCCCCACCCCTGCACGTGCACGCCGGCGCCGGCGCTCCCCCCGCTCACCCAGCCGCGTGCTGAGCACCTGCCGGGCAGGGGGCCCGGGGAGCAGGCCCTGCACAGCACAGGACAGACACGGGACGACAGCGGACGACGAGGGCCCGCCTCCCCCAGGACGGCCACCCAGGCCGCGGTCACGGGAGGCCTCAACGTTAGGGGAAGCTGGCTGAGGGGTGCGAGACAACTTTCCCGTTATGTTATCTCGGCAACTCCGCAACTCCTCGGTCCAAGTTACACGCCCACCTCCCCCTCCCCCTCCCCCTCCCCCTCCCCCTCGCCCACCCTGAACACCCACAGAGGCGGGGCCGGCCTCCGGGAGGCCTCCAGGAACCCAGCGCAGGAGGAAACCTACACAGGCAGGAACCCGGGTGGGCGCGGCCCAGCAGCCCCCAGCAAGGAGGGGGGAGGGGGTCCAGGCCAGGGACACGAAGGGGCAGGGGAGGAGGGAGGAGGAGGGGAGAAGGGGACAGGGCAGGGGAGGAGGAGGGGACAGGGGAGGGGAGAAGGGGGATCTGGAAGGGGGGGGCCGGGGAGGCGGGGGCCAAGGGCCAGGAGAGGAGGGGCAGAGGGGAGTGCAGGAGAGGAGGAGGGGGGACGAGGGGATGGGGGGGCCGAGGCCCGGGAGAGGAGGGGCAGATGGGGCGGGAGTGGAGGGAGGAGGGGGTGGGGGTGGAGGCCGCGGGAGAGGAGGAGCGGGGGGGGGGGGCGGAGGAGGGGAGGAGGGGACGGGGGAGGGGGGGCCGAGGCCCGGGAGAGGAGGGGAGAGGGGAGGGGGGAGGAGGGGTGGGGGGGAGAGGGGACGGGGGGGAGCGGGCGGGGCGAGGGGAGCGGAGGCCGCGGGGGCAGAGCTGCGGCGGGGGGGGCTCCCCAGCGCGGGGGGCGTGAGCACCGGCGCCCACCGCCCCGCACCCGCCCGGGGCCCACCGGCGCCCGCCTCGGTGCCCGCCCCGCCCGCCCGCCCCACGCAGGCCCGCGGGCCCGCCGGGGACGCACCTGGAACTCCAGCCCGTAGATGACCGGCGCGTCGTCCTCCATGCCGCGGCCGCCCCCCGCGCCAGGCCTGTGCGTCCGGCGGGCGCGCCCCTAGCTCAGCGCCCATTCATTCCCCCGCGCCCCCGGCGCCGACCCGGAGCCTTTCGGGCCCAGCGCGGCTCCCGTCGGCCTCACTTCCTGTTTTCCTGCCGCGTCATCGGGACGCTCCTCCGCGGCGGCCAATGACAGCGGCGCCCGGCGCTTGCGCATGCCCACTCGACTGCATCCGGGGCCTCCACCAAGCGGCGGGGGAGCGCGGGGGGGGATGGAGGGCGGCGGCGGGGCGCTGGGGAGCGGGGCGCGGGGCGGGGCGGCCGGTGGGCGGGCGTCCGTCCTCCGTCGCGCTCCGCGGGGCCTCGCTCCCCCGCTTCTGCGAGCGGTTTGCTGGCCGTGGTGCTCGGCGCCGCCCGGGAGCCGTCCGCCCTGACCCGGAGCCGAGCGTAGCGCGCGCGCACTTGAGAATTGCCAGGCTGCAGACCCCACCTGGGGGCACCGACCTGAAGGCTGGGGAGCGGGTCCCCGAGGCCAGGGCCGAAGCTCGCGCGGGCGGCAGGCAGCCAGCACCCAGGGGGCGGAGCGGGAGGGGGGCTGGGCAGCCCGGGGCGGCCGTGGGGGACCCGCTGACGCCGCTCTCCCGAGCCGCCTCCCCGGGCGGTGTCGGTGACACGCGGAAACCCAGGGCGCCACAGCACAGCGCGCTTCGCCAGGCCGCGCCCCGCTGCTTTCCGAGACCACCCACCTCACCGACTGTGCGGCTCTGGAACTCGCCCTTCAGCCCCTAATCCATCTTCACGACGCATGGCCCGGGTCCGAACGACGCACATGCAAAGGATGCCCCACGTCGCTGGTCGTCAGGAAGAAGCCGATCAAAACCACAGTGAGCTGTCCCCTCGCACCTGTCGGGACTGCTAGTCTCGAAAGTCAAAAAGACGGCAAGCGTTGGCAGGAAACGGAGGCATTGAAGCCTTATACGCTGTGGATGGGAACGCAGACGGGTGCAGCCACCGTGGACGGCAGCGTGCAGGATCCTCGAAAAGTCAAAAAATGGAACTACCGTGTGGTCTAGCAATCCCTCGTCCCGGAGTCAAAGGAAGCAAAATCACCGTGTCAAAGAAACGTCTGCACACTCACGTTCATTGCAGCTTTATTCACAGTAACACGGAGGCAACCTAGGTGTCCGTAGATCCAGGAGTGGATGGACAAAGTGTGGCACAAGTGGGTGCCCCCTCCACACACACACACACACACACACACACACAGAGAGAGAGAGAGAATGGAATATTATTTGGCCTTAAAAAGGAAATCCTGCCGTTGGAGACAATATGGATGAATCTGCAGGACATTCTGTTAAGTGAAATAAGCCAAACACAGAAAGACAAATACTGCATGAGTATACGGACATACAAAATACAGAAAACAAACAAAGCAAAACAAAACAAAAATATGATTGGACTCATTGTAGGAGCACTGGTGCTTACCAGAGGCCACGGGTACGGGGATAGGAGAGAGAGTGATCAAAGCATACAACTTTTCGATTATAAGGTGAATACGTTATGCAGACCTGATGTACAGAAGGATGGCTACGCTTAATCATAAGATATCCTATCCTTGAAATTCTAGAGAGTAGGTCTCAAGTGTTTTCATCACATACCCACAAAGAAGATAACTGATTGGGACCGTGGTTATGGAATTTGCTCCACCGTGGTACTCATTTCACAATGTATACCTGGGTCAGAACATTCTGTTGTAGACCTCGAATATGTAGTGTATCAGTCAAAAAGAAAAAAAAAAAAATGTAATCACTGCTGAAAAGAAGACAGAAATGGGTTTTCCGTGCTGTGTCCTAGTGCCCTGCCGGTCACAGCTAAGCTTCAGCAGACACCTGTTGGGAGAACACAGAGCCCTCAGTGAATACAGTGAAATCAAGGGAGCAGAGGCACGGCTGGAGCATCCTATTCACCGTCTGCAATTGCCTGAGGTCAAGTTGTGGCGCTAGGAGAATGCAGTCTTCCGACTCCTGGATTAAATCTACCCGCGTGATTGGTACTATTACTGCCATCTTTATGGTTAGTGTTATCACACAAGTCGTACAGGTGCACAGAAGGAAACGTAGAGAATACTGATAGGCATAACCGTTCCAAAAAGTATTTTTGGGTGCTTTGGCTACCACCTGCCCCTCGGAGGTCACCTAGCCCCGCCCATTGCCCCGCCCCCACGCCCCTAGGGGCGCAGGCCCCGCCCACCACCGCTCGAACCGGAAGCGCGCTGGGCGGCCGGCGCGCACTGGGCATGCGCGGAAGCAGTCCGCACGTCCGGCGCGCGCAGGCGCCCAAGCCCCAGGCAGCGCCGGGTCCAGTTTTCCCTTCCGGTTTGCGTCCACCTTCTGCCCGGAGTCCGGTCCCCGCTGCAGGTGACCCGCTCCCCAACCCCGGGGGCAGGGGGCAGGTGAGACTCAGGGCCTGGAATGGGGGGGTGGGGGGCGGGTCGTCCGTAAGCGCAGCCCCGCCGCCCTGACCCCCGCGCCGCCCGGGGGACGCTCCTCCCTGGGTCCCCGCGGCACAGCCCCCCCGCCCCCCGGTGTGTGCAGCCTGAGCTTCTGGGGGCTCGTCCCTGAGACCCCTCTGGGGGTAGGAGGGCTCGTCCCCTGGAGTCTCCCCGCGGGTGCTGCCCCCTGACCTCTCCGGGGAGCCCTCCTGCCCGTCGGGCCGCAGCGCTCAGTGATGAGCGGCTTGCCCCTGGATTGCTGTCCTGTCGCCCGATGTGACCTGCCCGGCCCAGCCCTGGGGTTGGGACAGTGAATGCGGCTCTTGGTGTGAAAGTGGATGTTGCCTGTCCCCCCCCCCCCGTCCTGACCCTTCCAGAGCAGTAGAGAGTGCGCCCGTGAAGCCTGAAAACACTTACTTTAAAAGAAGAGCAAGGCTCCAAGATAGGCTGAGACGCGTGTGTGCCTCTCGCTTGACCACAAACCCTCAGCCCAGTGGCACTGGACTAGCTTCCACCCTCCGCGGCCGCCGGAAGATGCCGTGTCCTTGTATCCGAGTACTCTCCCCCTGGCTTCTCTCCATGAATTCGGGACAGTGCAGAGTGACCCGTGAGCCCAGCCCACCGTGTGGGGCGGCAGCGGGAGAGCGGAGTGCCAGGAGGGACATTGAGTGAAGGCAGGGTCTTCACTGTGTCCCCACGTCCTGAGACGTCCCACGGGATCCTCCCGAGTCCAAGGCAGCGAGTCGCGTCTGTGCTTCCTTAGTAAAGTCATCGTTCCTGTGCTGATGTACAAGTAGCTCCGTGGGGTTTGGACGTGCCCTGTGCAGCGGTTCCTGTTGAATTTCATGACCCCGGTTTACAGACTGGGAACGCAAGGTGAAGAGATTAAGTCACTTTTCAAGGGTCACTTATAGCAGCGAAGCCAAGACACAAGCGGTAATTCACAGCTTGCGTTCAGTCCTCTTGTCTGACTCACCTCCGCTGCTCTGGACCATGTTCCGTCCTTGCAGCCTTCAAGGAGACAAAAGGCAGAAAGCTGTCGGCATCAAATGCTGTCAGCATGCCTTTGGCCCCATCATTTGGTTTTCTCTGCATAGTGGAGGTAATAGTGGTACTTTATAGGTTGGTCCTGAGGATTAAGTGAAATAATTAGTGTCAAGTGCTTGATCTGTAGTGGGTGTTCTTTACGTGGGGGCTTTGTAAGTATATGCTAGTTAGATTTCCACAACATGGCATATGTTTTCATGGAAATAGGGTTTACGTTATTGCAATCTGGTAAAAAGATCTATAATTCCAGCCTCACGTCCAGAAAGGGAACCAGAACGACTGTAGTTTGTTCTTAGTGAATTGTTCTTAATGAAATTCCAGTTCTCAAATAATCGCTTAAAGTCAGTACTTAAGAACAGTCGTAAGGTGGGACACCTGGGTGGCTCAGTCGGTTAAGCATCTGACTGACTCTTGATTTCAGCTCAGGTCATGATCTCAGAGTTGTAGGATTGAGCCCCGGTAGGGCTCCATACTGGGCATGCAGCCTGCTTGAGATTCTCTCTCTCCTCTCCTTCTGCTCCCCCAACCCTGCTCATTTGTATTTTTGCTCTCTCGCTCTGTGTGTGTGTGTGTGTGTGTGTGTGTGTGTGTGTGTGTGTGTGTGTCTCAAAAACAAAAACAGGGATCCCTGGGTGGCGCAGCGGTTTGGCGCCTGCCTTTGGCCCGGGGCGCGATCCTGGAGACCCGGGATCGAGTCCCACATCGGGCTCCCGGTGCATGGAGCCTGCTTCTCCCTCTGCCTATGTCTCTGCCTCTCTCTCTTTCTCTCTCTGTGACTATCATAAATAAATAAAAATTTAAAAAAAATAATAAAAAAAATAAAAAAAAAAAAACAAGGGACACCTGGATGGCTCAGTGGTTTAACATCTGCCTTCGGCTCAGGGTGTGTCTGGGGTCCAGGGATCAAGTCCCACATCAGGCTCCCCACATGGAGCCTGCTTCTCCCTCTGCCTGTGTCTCTGCCTCTCTCTGTGTCTCTCACGTCATGAATAAATAGATAAAATCTTTTAAAAAATGATCATAAGGTATTAAGGACATCATGCAAAGCCCACTCACCTGAACATAATGTCCACTTTCTCTGCTAGCATTTTGATGCTAACATAAGCTAAAAATCATGTCTATGATTTAATAAGATGATTAAGCTGATAATTGGAATAATGATTTATATTCCACCGGAATCAAAAACAAATACATGTGCTTTTCCTTTTTTTAATGTGAAGTATAAAGACCACATGTAGCATTCATGGAAGACGTAAAGATCAAATGCAAACCTTACCCAGTCTGCCCACCAGCAGAAGAAATGGACAGTTGCCAATGGCTTGTTCATGTGTCCCTCCCTAATCAAACCTTCTCTTGCCACCACCTCCAGCCCTCTCCCCAAATGAATTGGGTATTATCATCACCTTGCTTTTGCACTTGTATTCCTACAACAGTATATTTAATTTACAAGGTTTTGAACCTTATACAGAAAATCATGCTGCTTATTTTTCTACTCATTCTTTGTTGCAAAATTAGATTTGTGAGGTTCAAACACTGATGTGTTAAGTATAGCACGGTTCGTTTGTTTTACACTTGATGCTCCATTTTTAATATACTATTTATTGTGTCTATGGGCACATAGACACAATATGGGCTTGTTTCCAGGTTTGTTTTCTTTTTTTTTTTAAATCTTTGGGAGAGGACAGGTATTTTATTTAAAGTTGCTGTTTATAAGCATTCATGGTTCTAGCTTATGGTACCATGTGAGGAATTCCTCTGTGATACGTAGGTCATAGAACTGTTTATTGTCTTAACCAGTACTCTTGAGAGCTCAAAGAGGTACTTAATTTTACAGTAACCGTGGGTGTGCAATGGAAGTGTCCTAGGAAAATTAAAATGTATGGCATGAGTCACAGGAAACATGCTTGTGAAATGTGTGTCCCTCTCAGCCTGTTCAGATCTTTGGCCTATTTTTCTGTTGGGTCATTTATTGTCCTGTTGAGTTACAGGAATGTATTCTGTATTCTTGATATTAAGAAATCTGACAGTACCAAGTGTAGGTGAATGTGTTGAACAAGAATACTTCCACACTGCTACTACGTATGTAAATTGGTACAAATACTTAGGTAGGAAATTTGACGTTTTCTAGTAAAGATGAAGAGATGCATTCTCTATGACCCAACATACACACAATGTTTGATAACGTAATATACAAACTTACACGTGTACGCCAGGAGACATGTACAAGAATATTCTCGATGGCACCGTTTATACTATCAGAAACCTAAAAATACCTCAGGAGTCCATCAGTGGTAGATAGGGAAAATTAAGCCAAAAACTGAAAAATCTAAGTAATGTGTTAAGGAAGTAAATATTTGGAAGATTAAAGAAAAACAAGAGTATGACAAATTTCAGGAGAGTACCCCAAAGGGGGTGGGAAGTAAATATTAGAGTGTCTCAGCCACTTGTTATAAATGCTGTTTCGTATCCACTCAAAATTTGTTAAAAGCTATTTATAGAAATTGCACCTTTAGAAGAGAAGGGGAAGACTACAAGAAAAGAACCTTCTAAGGTCTCCTGCTGAGAAAAGAAAATGTATACGTGAGCTCTTCCTTTCTGTCCAGGATCTCTCCATCCCCCCAGCACCATATTTCTTTTTGCCTCGTGTACGTGTGTTAACTACCTGGCTTTCTCTCTGTGTCACTCCCCGGAACACGGGAGTACCGAGTTACCCTGGGACCTAAGACGCCGAAACATGCCCTGAGTAATGGCTCCTGGTTTGCAGGACATTTCAACACACCCCTTTGGCCGTGGTTTTTAATAAATATGTAGTTTATATTCAGAAATTGAGATCAGGGCACCTGCGGGGCTCGGTCGGTTGAGCGTCTGCCTTCGGCTCAGGTCATGATCTCAGGGTCCTGGGATCGAGCCCCGCATCCCGCTCTGCACTCAGCAGGGAGCGTGCTTCTCCCTCTCCCTCTGCCCCACCCCAGTTGCCCGTTTTCTCTCTCTCTCTTGAATAAATAATTTTTTTAAAGAAATTAGGATTAGTAATATAATTTTTACTCTGGAGTGGACAGGATCTTTGTAAACTTTGTCACTAGGAAACATTGATTTTTCTAATTCAGTTTGGATTAGAAACAAAGTTTCTGAAGAAAATCAAAACATAGTTACAAACAAGCATTGATGTGAAAGAATGTTGATTTTTTACTTCCCTTTCTTCCTTTCAGAAGATTGTTACTTTAGAAACATTTTAGGTAAATTGGTAAACAATTGGCTGTGTCAGGGTTTTATCCTTTGCCTAATTGCTCTGCAGAAAAGTTATATTTCCACTCTTGATAAATAAGCTTCCCTCAGAACTCCCCTAGGAAATGTCATTTCTAAAAATCTGCCTATTTCATAGACTTTTTTTTCTAAAAAAAAAAATCATAGTTTCAATCTGTTTCTTTAATTACTGCTGAAGCAGTTGTTTCTTGCTATAAGTATCCAATCCACATAATGAGTGGATCTTGCAGAGTGATTCGCTTTCTCTTATTCCAGTGTCTTGTGGGAAGTAGCTCAGCGTTGTCTGTGGACAGTCTTTCCTACGATATCCCCATTTTTGTCTGTCTCTGTAGCTAATATACCTAAGTTAACTTTGGCAGTTATTTCTGTTTAAGAGTAGAACTTTCTCCACCTTTCCCACTATATAAAGAAAACACTCTGATTTTGCCAGTTCTGATATTCTTTACCTTTTCCTGTAATTGTATCAGACCTTTTCTTATATCCTACATTATTCTACGATCAACCATTAATGTGGCGTTGGCGTTGGAATTTCTGGAGTTACAATCTGAACTGTTTTGGGTTTTTTTTTTTTTCCTTCTTCTTCTTCTGAGAGGGCCTCAGAACCAGCAGTTGACCCAGCTGTGGTTACTGACATCTCCCAGGTACCAGGCACTGTGCTAGGGGCTGGGATAGTTCAGTCCTCATGAGGGTTAGTCAGGAAGGACCAAACTCCATTTCTGGAAGTGTCATTTACCACCAGTAAGACTTTTTTAAGATTTTATTATTAAAGAGAGAAAGCATGAGTGAGGGAAGGGGCAGAGGGAGAAGTAGACTCCCCGCTAAGCAGGGAGCCCAATGCAGAAATTGGTCCCAGGACCCTGAGATAATGACCTGAGCCAAAGGCAGACACATCACCAACTGAGCCACCCAGGCACCCCTACTAGTGATTTTATTCTTTTAAATATTTTAGTTTTTAGTAATCTCTACACACAACCTGGGGCTCAAGCTCACAACCCCAAGATCAAGATACATATGCTCTATGGACTGAGCCAGCCAGATGCCCCACTACCAATGATTTTGGATGAATTCACTGCTCTGATTCTCAGTGTCCCCTTCTGTATATTAGGGCACTGATGGCATCTCGTTCAGCTACCATAGAGGTGAAATGAAGTCGTGCTTGTTCCCATGGCTTTCCTGCCCAACCTCTGTTTGCTATACAGAGAGGACCTAGGGGAAATCCCTACATGTGATGCCACATCCATTTTTTGATGTTCCCTAAGCAGCCTTCAATCCGCCTTGCTGTGAGACATTACCAGAGGAGCTTTTGTTCCTTCTTCATTTCAGGTTTGACTCATTTATAGCTAATCAAATGAATATATAACAAATGAAAAATTAGTAACTGACTCTGCTGGACAAGAAACTCCTCTACTTTATCTACTTTAAAGTCATCTTGTTTTTAGATTTCAGGGTGACTAGGCTATAAAAAGGAAGGACAGCTAATTTGGAATACTGTGAAAGCGTTGACAAAAATACTCTCATCTAGAGACCAGTTAAGATAGTTTTTAAAGGTCAAGAAGGCATTTTTTCCCCAGAAAAACCCTCATCCTAATTGGACTTTGTTCATTGTAAGAATAGAACTATACAGTAGGTTTTGCTCAAAAAGTTCTTCAAGAAAAGGAGCACCTTGTTTCATTCTGTGGCCTCTACCATCCAGCGTGCACCTAGCGATTCAGCTTTAACCAGCCCTGGTTTCCCTGCTTACTAGCAGCACAGCTTTGAGCAAGCTACATGACCTCCCTGAGCATCAGCTTCCTCGTCTGCAAGATGAAGGAAATGATAGCAGTTGCATCACAGGGTTGTTCTGAGGACCAAGTAGGAACATATACGTAAGACCCTTACCAGAGTGCCGAGGACAGTGCATCGGAATAATTGATCTGGTTTGCTGTCATTAGCAGGAGTGAGCATGCCCCCCCCCCGCCCGCCGTGAGTGGGCCTTTGTCAGCGTACAGTTTTTCTTTCTCTTCCATTCAGACAGACGGTGTCCCAGGGAGGATGAGGAGATTATTACAGGTTGGAGTGTCTTGGGGAGGCCTCATGGAAGAGAGGGTCTATAAGTGAGTCAAAAAGAACAAATAGGGTTTGAAAGGCTGGAGACCTCAGCCCCATTAGGATGGCTAGGACCAGCCAGGAAATAAGTGTCATCAAGAATGTGGAGAAATTAAAACCCTTGTGGACTGTTGCAGGGAATGTAAAATGGTGCAATGACTGTTTTCCATAAAACAGTTTTTTGGTCACTCAAAGCATTAAAAATAGAAGTGTTGTATGATTCAGCAATCCTACTTCTGGGTACATACCCAGAAGAATTAAAAGTAAGAACTCAGACATTTGTACACATGTGTTCACAGCAGCAGTCAGAGTAGCCCAAGGGTGGAAGCAACACAAGTGTTCATCAGTGGATGAATGTTTAAACAAAATGTGGTATGTATCTACAACGGAATATTATTCAGCCTTAAAAAAGAAGGAAATTCTGACAGGCTGTAACATCAGTGAACTTTGAGGGCAATATGCTAAATGAAGTAAGCCAGTCACAAAAGGGCAAATACCATAGTGTCCCACTCTTGTGAAGTACCTAGAGTAGTCACATTCCTGGAGTTATAAAGTAGAAGGCAGTCACCGGCTGGCGGTGGGGACGGGGGTACTGGGAAGTCATCGTTTATGGATACGGTGTTTCAGTTTTACAAGATGGGAAGCGTTCTGAGGATGGGAGGTGGATGGTTGCACAACGATATGAATGCACTGGATGCAGCTTAACTGTAAACTCAGAAATGATTAAGATGGTTCTGTTACGTGTCGTTTACCATGATCAACCGATCAGTAGGTGCCTGGACAAATGGAGTCTTTTGAAATTTGAACTTTTTGAATATATAACTGGAAAACATTTTTTAATAGACTTTATTTTTTGGAGCAGCTGTCAGTTCCCTGCAAAATTGCACAGAAGGTCCAGAGATCTCCCGCATATCTTTGATTCCTCCACCAAGCAGGACATCTGTTACCATCACTGAACCTGCGTTGACATGTCATTATCATACAAAGTCCACAGTCCACATTCAGGTTCGCTCTGGGTGTTGTGTGTTCCGTGAGTTTGGGCAAATGTATAATGATGTGTATCCACCATTTGCTTCTTAAATTTAAGAAACGGTTTTAACAGGAAGGTTAAATCAGCTCAACAGTAAGATAGAAAGCTGATGGGATTGGTTCATATCTGTCTTTGCTGCAGGGGACCATGGAGAACGCTAACGGCACCGAGCAGAGTGGGACTGAGGACTCGCTTCCGGCCCAGGAGCAAGCTGGGAGCACCACTCTGCAGGAAGAACCGGGGCAGCTGCTTTATCATGAGGAAACCATTGACCTCGGTGGAGACGAGTTCGGGTCTGAAGAGAATGAAACTATATCGGAAGATTCTAACAACTTCGTGGATAAGCTTAATGAGCACATGATGGAGAGCGTCCTCATCTCTGACTCCCCTAACAATAGCGAAGACGACACAGGTGACCTCGGCTGCTTGCAGGATGTAGTGGAACCTGCAGAAGGCAACTCAGGTCCCAGACTGGAAAGCCTTGTGGATGAAGGAGCAGTGGACACCCTGAGCAACAACAGTGCGAGTGACGGGGAGGGGGTATCTAAACACATCTCTGACACGACCCCCGACTCTGAGCACAAAGAAGTCAAAAGTGTGCCCTCCTTGGGAGAGGAGGGTGCAGAGGACCTGGGCCCAAGGGATGAGAGCAGCCTCCCAGAGGGACCGGGGTGCACACCCCCTGCAAGGCAGTCCCCTCCCGCCGAGGAGCCCGTCCCCGTGTGCACTATTTTCAGCCACTCGCTTCCTGCCCGCTCCCAGCCACCTCTGCTCCTGCGGGACGGCTTCGAGTCCCAGATGGTGAAGTCCCCGAGCTTCAGCGGCGCCAGTGACACGGTGGCCAAGACCCCTCCCCAGGCAGTCCAGCCAAGCCCCAGCCTAAGTAAATTTTTTGGCGATCCGACCAACACGAATTCGTTGGCCTCAGACTTTTTCGACTCATTCACAACTTCTACTTTCATCTCCGTCAGTAACCCCAATGCCGGTTCTTCAGTTCCAGAAAAACTGTCTTCACTCTCGACCCCGGTGGGTGAGAGATCCCCAAGTGTTGCCGAGCCTTCTCACTCCCCAGGGATCGAAAAATCAGAATCCGGTGTTTGCACAGCTTCCCTAGAAATTCCTCAGTCTCCAAAACCGTTTTCACAGATCCAGGCTGTGTTTGCAGGGAGCGAGGACCCCTTTGCCACAGCCCTGAGCATGAGCGAGATGGACCGCAGAAGCGATGCCTGGCTCCCTGGGGAGGGGACCAGGGACGTCCTGATTTCATTGGCAACCCAGCAGTACAGCACGGTGTTTGTAGACAAGGAGAGCCTCACCATGCCAGGCCTCAAGTTTGACAACATCCAGGTAGGTGCAGGGCATCTGTAGAGGGGCGCTCGCGGCAGGATGCCTCAGGGGCCTCTTCAAGTTCCTCTCCGTCTCTCTCTTTTCCCTCTCACTCCCACCCCCCTCCCTCATATGTATGTCACATAAATACCTTTCAAGGACTGAAAATTTCTCATTTTGAACCCTGTGTTATGTCACTGGTTAATTTGGAACTCTGTTGATTTCCCTGATGTGATGATTTAAGGCACTAAGCAGTCTTAGAAGTAACTGTCAGCCAGGTAGATAGTTACATCATACTTCTTTGATGTAGCTGCGAGCTTCGCATGGTTAGGTTGTTTGTGACATTTAACCTTCAACAAAAGATTACCTTTTTTTTAAATCTGGGGAGTGGGGATCCCTGGGTGGTGCAGCGGTTTAGCGCCTGCCTTTGGCCCAGGGCGCGATCCTGGAGTCCCGGGATCGAATCCCACGTCAGGCTCCCGGTGCATGGAGCCTGCTTCTCCCTCTGCCTATGTCTCTGCCTCTCTCTCTCTCTCTCTCTCTCTCTCTCTCTCTCTCTCTCTGTGACTATCATAAATTAAAAAAAAAAAATCTGGGGAGTGTATTTGTTTAGCATATTATATCCCCAATGTAGAGTTTTTATAGACTCATTAAGAAAAATATGGATGGCCCCACAAAGTAACGAATCACAGAAATATTTCAGTGTTCTGTATAATAAATGACATAGAAAAGTTTAGTCTCGCAATCAGAGATGGTACGATTATCTCCATTTTCCATTATCTAATTAGGCATTTCATTCATGATTATTTCTCGCTTGCTAAAGCTTGGGAAAATAGCCTGCCTCCGGCAGCCCTGATGGGACTATAAATCAGTACAAACTTTTTTAAGTAAAATTTTTAAATCAACATCCAAATGTGCATATTATTTGATCCAGAAATCCCAGTCTTAGGAATTTTTTTTTTAAGATTTTATTTATTTATTCATGAGAATACACAGAGAGGAGAGAGAGAGGGGCAGAGACACAGGCAGAGGGAGAAGCAGGCTCCATGCAGGGAGCCCAAAGTGGGACTCAATCCAGGGTTTCCAGGATCACGCCCGGGGCTAAAGGTGACACTAAATCGCTGAGCCACCCAGGGCTGCCCAGGAATTTTTTTATAAGGAAATAATGTCACTGGTATACAAATACCCAGCTTTTGGGATGCCTGTCAGAGTGTGGTTTATTATTGCAAAGCATCTAAAATAATCCAAAAGCCCATTGTCAGGAGGCTGTTTGAATACATTTGACTCCTCTTTAGGTTGAAATATTTACGTAGGTATTAGCAATAATGATAATAATGATACAGCGGCGCCTGGGTGGCTCAGTCAGTTAAGTGTCTGCCTTGGGCTCCAATCGGGATCTCAGGGTCCTGGGATTGAGCCTGGCATTGGCATCGGGCACCCTGCTCAGGGAGGAATGTGTTTCTCCTCCTCCCTCTACCCCTCTTCTTCCTCCTCCCCTGCTCATGCACTGTCTTGCATGTGCACTCTCTCTTTCTCTCAAATAAATAAAATGTTTTTAAAAATAATAAATCTTTAAAAATAATGATAGAGCAGAATTTTTAATGAGGTTCATACTGTTAAATTTGAAAAACTGGATATGAGATGGCATCTGGCACGCATAGTACGGTAAGAACATATATAAGTACGTGTAACACGTACCTATAAAATGAGTTCGTCCGATGTCGGCCACAGGTAGGATCATTAGTTGTCACACGGCTCAGTGTGTGTGCGGGGGCTCACTCCCGGCTGCTGGCCTTGGGGCCTGCGTACGTCTGCCCTCCTGGAACTGTCTCCAGCAGCCCTCTCCGGTAAGCACATGGCCGGCCCTGCACACATGTGGCTGGTCAGGAAGCCCAGGGCGTGGGATGCATGGTGTGGCATTGGTGGACTTGTGAGCCCTGGGAGAGGGGCCACGCCAGAGATGCGCAGCCGTTAGCTGTTTTCTAGGGATCTAGAAATCTAGAAATTGGACCCTGTAGGCTTCGGATGGCAGTCTTGACCGAGTATTCAGGTACCAAACGCACATTTACTGTGCGGGTACTGTTCACCAGGCATTGTGCGGAGCTTCCTTCTCCACTCTCTTAAGAGGAATGTACTGAACATAAGCTTACTTTTGCAGGATCTTGTTAAAGAATTCCAGTTATAGACTCTGAGTTTGGGGGATACTTGGACGTGCAGCATTTGATCTGTATACTCACAGATTCCTCCCCCACCATTCCCAGGCCCTGTCTGGATCCACTGTACCTGGGGTGGGGGCGTTTACACTTCTGCTTCAGGTTTCTTCCCTCCTCCTCCCCCTTCCCCTTGTGGGGGACTTTGTGCTCTGCTGCTAAGTTCCTGGAACCTCAGGGGGACTGGCCTTTTGGCCCTTCCTTTCCAAACTATCTGTTGTTTGCAGTTTGCTTCTCCTACTGATTGTAATTCAGGGGAAAATTGAAGGTTGCCATGGAAATGACTTCGCCCAGGGGTTCTGGGGTACATTTGGAAACATGTAGAGGTGCTTCGCTCCAATTGCCAAGAGGTCTGGGGTGAGCACATGGATGAGGCCAAGAATGCTAAATAGCCTGCAGGCTGGTTATTGTCGGACCAGAAAAATCGTGCTGGCCCAAATGGCAGTCATTCTTGAGGCAGGAAACACAAGCCCTGGAGGTCGGGACCAGTTTCCCCTGGAGTGAATCAAATACAGAGCCCCTGTCATAGGTCCTCCCTTGCTGCCAAGCTTACCTCCACAGTTCCACTTGTCTAAATGTGAGACAGTCAGGACCCTGCACCAGTCAGCATGGGTTGTGGAGCTTCTGCCATCTGGGCACGGCATGGAGAGGCCACCCGGACCTGAGGAGAGCATAGGGAGCCCACCAGGGCCAAAGCAGAGCATGGGGAGCCCTCCAGAGTCAGGGCTGAGCACGAGGAGCCCTCCAGGGCCAGGGCAGAGTACAGGGAGCCCTCCAGGGCCAGGGCAGAGTGCAGGGAGCCCTCCAGGGCCAGGGCAGAGTGCAGGGAGCCCTCCAGGACCAGGGCTGAGCACAGGGGGCTCTCCAGGGCCAGGGCTGAGCACGGGGAGCCCTCCAGGGTCAAGGGTAGAGTGCAGGGAGCCCTCCAGGACCAGGGCAGAGTACAGGGAGCCCTCCAGGACCAGGGCAGAGTACAGGGAGCCCTCCAGGGCCAGGGCAGAGTACAGGGAGCCCTCCAGGGCCAGGGCTGAGCACAGGGAGCCCTCTAGGGCCAGGGCTGAGCGCAGGGAGCCCTCCAGGGCCAGGGCAGAGTGCAGGGAGCCCTCCAGGGCCAGGGCAGAGTGCAGGGAGCCCTCCAGGACCAGGGCAGAGTGCAGGGAGCCCCCCAGGACCAGGGCAGAGAACAGGGAGCCCTCCAGAGTCAGGGCTGAGCACGAGGAGCCCTCCAGGGCCAGGGCAGAGTGCAGGGAGCCCTCCAGGGACAGGGCAGAGTGCAGGGAGCCCTCCAGGGACAGGGCAGAGTGCAGGGAGCCCTCCAGGGCCAGGGCTGAGCACAGGGAGCCCTCCAGGGCCAGGGCAGAGTGCAGGGAGCCCTCCAGGGTCAAGGGTAGAGTGCAGGGAGCCCTCCAGGGCCAGGGCTGAGCACAGGGAGCCCTCCAAGGCACAGCGTTCCTTCTTTTCTTTTCCTTTCTGTCCTTGGGGATGTTTTCCATACCTCCTGCAGTTCCCAGTAATTGTTTTGGGAACCTCATGCCAAATTGAAATTTGAACGGAGAATAGTTCCCAGAATACCTCTGACTCTCCCACACCTGTGTCTCTTCCTTAGTATATTATCCTTCAAAGACCCTTTCATTCCCAAGACAGAAAAGAAAATATATGGTTAACCTTGAACGGACTTGCTGTGTTTGTTTGCCCGAAGATAAAAGGTTGGTTTCTCGATTAACTTTCTGTGCACACCAAGTGTTTAAAACCACCTTGGATTTACCTATTAATAAGCTCCTCCTTTGCCGCTGTTATTACTGCAGAATTGTTCATAATCAGCTTTCTAAGACACTTACATTTGATTTTTTTTCCAAATTGCCTAATTAAAAATTACCTTCCTGAGGGATAAAACTTGAAAAGATTTTTAATTTGTTTCTTTATGAGATGACATCTGTGGCAGTCGAAGCTAAGGTAGAAGCCTAAAGGTGAACGTGTAACACCTCTGTACTCGAGTGGCATCAGAAGGAGGACACAGCGTTTGCAGCTTATTACGGCTGCACGTGATCTCTGTTCTCAAAAAAGTAAATGGAAAGTTTGTAGGGAAATGGTAGTTTAGAACTTTTCAGAATGGAAGTAGACAAACATTTGTATGATGCTTGTTCACTTAAGAGAGAGAGAGAGGAAAAAGGCAATAAATAAATAAAATAGAAGCAGCAGAATTTCAGTGGTAAAGGTAACAGGGCGGTGAAGGGGAAGGAGATGGGATCGGGCCCCCTGGCGGACATCAGAATACTCCAGCCTGTGCTGCGGGACTAGAAACTGGCGCACGGACGTGGAGACTGGATCCTCCCACCTCCCTTTCTCATTCTCTTCCCCAGTTCTTGCCTTCTCCTTTCCGCAATTTGGATCTCACAGGAATCCCCTCAGGGAACCCCACACAATCCATGTGAACGCCCCTTTCCTGGGCCATTGCAGGTCCTGTGTCAGGAACCTCCAGGAAGCCAAAGGCCTACCTGTCCTGCAGGGCTACCAGCTACAGATTTTCTCAGTTTTAATTAGTCTGCAAAAAGCATTTATTTCATCTTCGCTTTTAAAGGTTATTTTTTCTGGATATGCAATATGTTTACAGTGTAAAATTCAAGGTTTGGTTTTTTCCATTCATCGTGTTAAAAATGCCCTTCCATCATGTTTTGGATGTGAAGTTTATAAAAATCTTTATTTTTGCTTTTCTGTGCCCAATGTACGTGTTTTCCGCTGGTTTCTTTTAAGATTCCCAACCCTGTCTCCTCACCTCAGCAAGCTTGCCACGCTCTGCTTGGGACTCTTCACACTGTGCTCCAAATGTGCCTTTGAGTTCAAGAGTTCAAGTCCTCTGTCCCCTTGTCTCAGACCCCAGCCCTCTTCTGTGTCTGAACACAATCGCTTCATCCCTTTTCTCACACTAGGACAGTCCAGTCTCAGTTACTCTGTAACAGACAGAAGCAGAAGTCACCGCCGCTACTTTTGTTCACCACCCTTGCAAAGGGTTCCTGAGCTCCTTTTGCTGAACTGAATTAAACCATGGGAGTGAGCCAGGGAAGTCGGGGGGAGGCCAGCCCAGGCCGTTTTGTGGCGGCCTCACACTGTTTTTTCCCTGTTGAAGCATTCTCTCAAATTCTGATTTGTTTGGGCCTCACAAGAAAAGAGGGTTAGATTTGGTTTTGTTTTTACAGCTTTATGGAAATATAGTTCACATGCCGTACAGTTCACACGTTCAACCTACAATTCACTGGTTTTTAGCATTTTGACAGAACTGTGTAACCATCACCATAGTCAAATCTTAGAATGTTTTTATCTCCCCAAAAGAAGCCCCAACCCCTTCAGACTCACTTCCCATCTCCCCCTCCCACAGCTCCAGGCAAGCACTAATCTCTGTGTCTGCGGAGTCTCCTATTCTAGGCATTAACTACAAATGCAGTCATACAACGTGTGGTCTTCATGTCTGGCCTCTGTTACTTAGGATAACGTTCTCAGGAGTCATCCATTTCGTAGCATGCATCAGGACATCGTTACTTGTTGTCAAATAATACTCCCCTTTATGACTATTTCACATTTTACTTACCATTTATCCCTTGATGGACATTTATTTCCACTTTTTGGCTGTTGTGAATGATGCTGCTTTTGAATATTCATGAACAAGTTTTTAAGTGGTCAAGTTTCCACTTCTCTTGGGTACATACCTCAGAGTGGAACTCCTGGGTTACATAGCAACTCTGGGGGTCACTTTTTTACAAAGATTAATTTATTTAAGAGAGAGAGCATGTGTGCACATGCGCAGGAGCAGGGGAGGGGCTGAGGGAGAGAATCTCAGGCAGACTCCCCGATGAGCGCAGAGCCTGATGCAAGGCTCCATCCCAGGACCCTGAGATCATGACCTGAGCCAAAACCAAGAGTCGGACACCTAACCGACTGAATCACCCAGGTGCCCCTGGGGTTCACATTTTGAGGACTGTCCAGACTATCTTCCAAATGGCACCATTTTACGTTCCACCAGACGGGGGTTTTGCTTTGTTTTTGTTTATCTGATGTGTTTGTTCGGGTGGTTTTGCTTACCCTGGGAGAGAGCAAACGCTGGAGCTTCTCCGTAGGAGCCGTGGCAGAGAGCAGAAAGTGCCTTGTGTGCTGGGTCAGGCGCAGGGGCCGCCGTCTCTTCAGCACCACTGCCCCGCGACCATTGTGTCTTCCGGTTTCCCAGACAGTAAAGCCTATATGCTATGAATCAGCTGCTCTGGTTTCCGTTTTGTCTTTGTCCATTAAAATAAAGAAGGGACTGCGGAACTGTCCCCACACTGCAGGGGGGTGGCAGCCCACAGCCATCTGTGAGCTGAGATCAGCCACTTGCTCTTGCATAAACACGTCTGACAGATGAGAGGCAGACATCCTCCCCGTTGCCTGCCCGAGTCCTGGCTCATTCCCCTGCCATCTCCCCACATTTCCTGCTCTGGCTTTGGATGTGCTGGTCCCTCACCTAAGAGTGTGCTTATTTGAAGGGCCCAAGGGTTCCAGGTGGGTGCCATCCCAGGTGCAGCAGCATACCTCTCAGAAAAATGCTGTCATGGGGGGGAAGTTTGATCTCCTCTCCTCTCTCCAGTGGCCATCAGAGGATGGGCAGGTAGGTGCCATGGCCCCTGTGCCATAATCACCTCCAGCTTAGTGACACATTTTATCACATCCCTGGGCTTTCATAGGTGAGATGTTTCTTAGTCATGCACACGCTCATGTATCAGGAACTTCCATGCTAACGAAATTGTTAACCAACAGAGAATTTTAAGGGCAAAAGATTTTTGCAGAGTCGTCTAATTAACAGAATGTTGCAAGGATGGAGAAGTTAAATTGGTCCTCCCTCTGCTGCATCGAGATGTGATTTTGCCCTTTCCCGGTTTGCAGCTCCTCCCACTCAGATAAAGCCCTTTGTCTGGTAGGAGTTCATTCCTGCAAAGCTTTATGGAGCCATATGGCTGAGCTCTTTTTATTCTGCCCTTTAATTGTCCCCCCTAGACCAGTTAGCCCTTCTGTGGCTCCAGCATTTGAAGCACTTCACCTCACTCTGAAAGCAGAAACATCATAAAGCTGTTGTTTCTCAGTTTTCGCTGCCCTGTAAGTGAGAGGTGTGGCTCAGCCTCTTAGCCAGAACCAGACTGGTGACCTGGAACCCCCCCATGCCAAGGCCACTGCTCCCCCTTTATCAGTGGAAGGGAAGCCGCAGCCCCCCACAGTACCTTTCAGCCTCGCCTGCATGCACCGTCCACCTGGTGGTGCTTTTTAAGTGTCCCCACTCTGGACGATAACAAAAGATTAGCCTTGCATATGTGTATGCCAAGGGTAGGAAACAATAGGAAGGGACCTGGGGCGCTTGTGAAATGTGCAAGGAACACAACCACACTTATTTTCTGTCCTCTCTGGCTGTGTATGTGCTCAGTGGCCCCTGCAGGATTAGCACTCACTGGCCTGCAGCTGAAAGCAGACCCTTTGCTCACGGGGATGGAGAGGTTTCTCATTCACCAGCACCGCCCCCACCTCCCCAGGTTGGATTTCTCCCTGGCCATTGCAGCCATCCGGTAATCCGGCCTCTCCTGGCACCTTGCCCTCTGCCCTCACCCTTCCATCATCCCTTTATGGTCTGTTCCACTTTTTTTTTTAATCTAGGTATAATTAACACATCATATACTAATTTCAATGTGTAGTTGTATACATTGCAGAGTAGTCACCACATAGGTCTAGTTAACATCCCTCACCTTACATAGTTACAGAATTACTTTTCTCGTGACAATAACTTTTAAGATATACTCTTTTAGCAAGTTCCAGATATGCACCTCAGTATTATTATGGTTGCACTGCTGTACATTAATCCCCAGGACTGATTTACCTGATAAGTGAAAGGTTGCACCTTTTGACCACCTTTCCCATTTGGGCCACCACCACTCCCCACCCCTGCCTCTGGCTGCCACCAGTGTATTCTCTGCATCTGTGAGCTTGTTTGGCTTTTTGGGTTTTGCTTTTTTAAGATTCCATCTAGAAGTGAGATCCTACAGGATTTGTCTTTGTCTGGCTTACTTCATTTAGCATAACGCCCTCAGGATCCATCCACATTGAAACCAATGACCAGATTTCATTCTTTCCTCTTATTTATTTATTTATTTATTCATTCATTCATTCATTCATTCATTCATTCATTCTTTTCTCATGGCTGAATAATATAGCACTGTGTGTGTAGGCTAGCCCTCCTTTACCCGTTCACCCGTGCATGGACACTTAGCCGGTCTCCAAGTCCTGACTGTGAACACGGGGGTGCAGGCATCTTTTCAAGTAAATGTTGTTATTCCCTTGAGTTAAGTTCTCAGAGGTAGAAGTGCAAGATTGTAGGGTGGCTCTGTGCTGACCCTCTGCGAACCTTCGTCCGGTCCCACTGCGGCTGCCCCATCCTTGTTCCTGGCAGCCATGCGGGGGCCGCCTCATCCACAGCCACTCCAGCGGCCTTCCCTCCAGCTCTGTGGGGCCCGCCATGCTGTCCCTATGGCCCCGACTGCAGACTGCAGGGCATCTAACCCCAGGGAGTCAAACTGTGGGGCAGGAGGCCCGTGTGTACCCACAGCCTGGCCGAGGACCTGAGGGGGTGGACAGTGCTTTTCTCCCACCGCAGCCCCCCCCCCACCATGGGCAGGAGTAGCACACTGGTGGCCTCACGGCCAGGGGCCACCCAGAGTTCCCCACCGCATCCCATCCCCTCCCCAGCTTGCTGTGTCTCTCATATAAACCTGGTCCAGGTGGTGGTAATCCACCCCTTCTCTGAAAGAAGAAAGAGCAATTCTAAAATACACATTTTATTAAAGGTTGTGATGTTTGAGCATCTGGGCAATTGAAGTTTTACTATACTGTAACCACATTTTAACCTCCGTATACCAATGGAGAAAAAAATTTCATTTAGTTACAGGTTCTGGTTAGCTGAGTTTAATTAACATTTTATTGTCTTGACATATTTTTCTTGCATTCCTTCAAGGGGGATGCAGTTAAAGACCTGATGCTTCGCTTCCTGGGTGAGAGAGCCGCGGCAAAGAGACAGGTCTTAAATGCCGAGTCCGTAGAGCAGACTTTTGTTGGATTGAAACAGCTCATCGTAAGTAATGATGTGTTTGATTTCAATATTGTTTTTTTTTATAAGTGCTGCCTTTTTTCATAGTATTTTCCTTACTGTTAATTACTTTGAATGTATTATCTAAAGCCCTTGCATGTAAATAAAATTTTGTTGAATTAGATACCAGTGCTGTGCAGAAAAGCATATTAACATACTTTGAATTTAAGATCAATTAGTTTAAAATCCATTATTTTATTTTTGTTTATGTATTTTTTAAAGATTTTATTTATTTATTCATGAGAGACACACAGAGAGAGAGGCAGAAACACAGGCAGAGGGAGAAGCAGGCTCCCTGAAGGGAGCTCGATGTGAGACTCGATCCCGAAACTCCGGGATCACATCCTGAGCTGAAGGCAGACATTTAACCACTGAGCCACCCAGATGTCCCAAAAATCTATTATTTTAAATGATCAAGTTGCTTGAAGCAGAATGTACTTTGATTAAAGATGCTCCATCAAATGCAATAACTAAAGATAAGTAATTTTTATGTTGTTTTTTTTTTTTTTGAATACTCTGTTTTCTCCACTTGGTATAAAAGGTTTATTATTGAGTGGGTGGGTACACCAAAAATGCATACAGAAGTCTTTGTTCTGCACTTCTACATTCAAGAGTAAATGTGACTATCCAGGTAGAGATGCAGTCTCAAATACTGATAGGAAAATATTAAAAGGCATAAAATATTAATAGGAAACTCTCTGAACTGCAGGCATGTTAACACAAATGGGTAGATGTTTCTGGTGGTCTTTGAACCCCCGGAAACTCTACACCCCCACAATTGCCTTTTCCTTGGTACCTTTTTTTTTTAAAAAAAGTATTTTATTTATTTATTCATGAGAAACACAGAGGAGAGAGAGAGAGGCAGAGACACAGGCAGAGGGAGAAGTAGGCTCCATGCAGGGAGCCCGACACAGGACTCGATCCCAGGTCCCCAGGATCACACCCTGGGCCGAAGTCAGTGCTAAACCCCTGAGCCACCCAGGCTACCCCTTCTTGGTACCTTTTATCCTATTTACAGAAGTATGTGTCCTCAGAAAAGTAACTAAGAATCACTTCTTTAGGTGGTTAGCAGATATTTTACACATAAAGCAACTGATGTTTAGGGGTGCCTGGGTGCCTCAGCCAGTTGAGCATCCAACTCTTGATTTTGGCTGAGGTCATGATCCCAAGGTCCTGAGATTGAACCCCATATCAGAATCCCTACTCAGCAGAGAGTCTGCTTCTCCTTCTCCCTCTGCTGCACCCCATGCTTTCTCTCTTTCTAAAATAAATAAGATTTTTTTTAAAAGCAATTAAAGGTTAATTTTTTTAGTAAATGTGAATCAAATGTTTCATTGGGTTTCTTTTACTGAAGTGATCCTGGAATTATTGCTATAACTAAGGAGCTTTGGGAAGGAAAGAGATAGAGATAGCCTGGTGTTTGTTTTTATTTTTTATTGGAGTTCAATTTGCCAACATATAGCATAATACCCAGTGCTCATCCCATCAAGTGCCCCCCCTCAGTGCCCGTTTGTTTTTATTTTTTTTTCTGTTTGTTTGTTTTTAAAACTTTGTTTTTTAAGTCATGTCCACACCAGTGTGGGGCTCGAACTCACAACCTGAGATCAAGAGTTGCATGTACTGCTTATTGAGCCAGCCAGGCGCCTGGAGATAGTCTATTTCTTTACTTTTTTTTTTTTTAAAGAATTTTTATTTATTTATTCATAGAGACAGAGAGAGAAAGGCAGAGACACAGGCAGAGGGAGAAGCAGGCTCCTGATATGGGACTCGATCCCGGGTCTCCAGGATCATACCCTGGGCTGCAGACGGCGCCAAACCGCTGCGCCACCGGGTCTGCCCGAGATAGTCTATTTCTAAAAGGGACAGGAAACAACTAGTTTTTAAATATTTGTATACTTAATCATTTGTTAATGAAGGGATAGGTCTTAACAGGTGCACATTTCCGTGGCTACACAGCATGGAAACTCATCACATGATAGACTCTTGCACTGTCGGGAGGGTAATTGTCATTGCCTTGAAGCAGCTGCTGTGATCCGTCATCATTAGGGTAGGCTGCGCGAGGGGGGGGGGTCACTTTGTAGTGACCAGTTGATTTTTATTTTTTTAATTTTTATTTTTCTGAAGTAAATTCTACTCCATACATGGGACTCGATCTCAGGACTCTAGCATCAAGGGTCTCACGCTCTCCCAGCTGAGCCAGCCAGGCACCCCTATAATGACCAGTTAAAAAGTACACACAGAGCCACATACATTCATGGTAACTGAATTGTTCCCACAGGCGATCCTTTTACCTTCTTTAATTGTTCATAGTGTTAATAAATATAGAAAGGGGCTTGGGGCTTTTTTTCATATATTGAAAATACATATCACCAGGAGAGATTTTATTAGAGCCCAACATGGAGACCTATTTAAGGTGGAAAATGTCTTTATAAAAAAAATTGTAAATACATGCCCTGGTGTTTTAATTATGTCCTAAAATAATTCCTGTCCTCTTTAAGATTAGAAAAGAGTCTTGAAATGTATTTTCCCAAATAATGTCAGAGCATTCTAAGATTGTAATTTACAGGGAAATGAATGTCATAGCCTGTAGAGGAGGATGTTTTAATCACTTTAATGGTATCATATATAGAGTTAATGATTCCTTTTGAGTTGTAGATGGGGAAAAGTTATGTACATAGCATTAGTTACTTGAGTGACTTTTATTGGACTGTTTTTCTCATCTTGTGGAAGTCATCGTATGCCTGTGTTCATTTTTTCAAATAGAGTTATATCTTATTTCCTAATGTAAGAAAAGTAATGTTTAAGTTTAGATCTTTTTCTCATACCAAAATAACTTTATTATCAGAGTTCTACATGTCATCTACAGTAATTATGAGATTTTCATAAGACTTTTTTCTAGCATTTAAAGTTTTATAGGGTATGCTTTAAATGGTAATTATAAAAATAATTTCTTCACCAAACACTTTTGACATCTAATATCAAAACGGAGGAGGATAAGCAGGAAGAGGACTAGGAAGTGGAAAAGAATGGAATAAAACAGCAAAAAGCACTCTGAGAAAGCACATAATTACAATTTCACATGGGCAGCATGTCATCAAAAGCTCCAGGTCCCAGGTTGCTGAGGTGACACCCCACTGTTTTGAAGGACGGAGTAGCAGCCTTTAGAACTCAGCACTGTGTTGGGTCGTCCTGGCCTGTCCTTTAAAGAGTCTCCTTCATCCACTCCCTCAGACCTCCTACCGGGCTCACCAGTCAGGCTGCCCAGAGCTGTGCGGGATTCCAGAAAGAGGAGCGAGCACAGGCCAGCCCTGGTCTCCTCTAGCCTTTTTCTGTTAACAGAGGCATCCTGGGCCTGCTAGGTCCTTGTCACCCCTGGGGCAAGTCCAAAGAATGAAAAAGAACATCAGAAAACTGGAGGCCATGCCCTTTGGAGGCTGGAGAAATAAACTGCGGGTATGCGTGCACACACACACACACACATGCCTGCTTGACATGCACGAATAGGGATGTGTCCCCAGGCCTTCGACATGGATGCTCGGGTGAGGACAGACACTGGGAAAGGGTGACAGTAGAATGGGAACCACGTATCTGCCATGGCAGCTGGGTGGGAGCCAAAGGCGGGTCAGGGAAATGACAAGGGCTCTGCGCTCCTGACACAGAGGTACCAGTGGGACAGGACAGAGCCCAAAACACACACTTACGTGGAAAGAACAATGTTACAGGTTACTTGGGAAAGGAGGAACTAATAAGTGATGCTACAGAATTAATGGGATATTCAAATGGGAAAAGTTAAAAAGATCTCTGTCTCTTAGCACACACAAAAATAAATTCCAAATAAATTAAAACAAGTATTTTTAAATTCCAGAAATAGAGTAGACTCTTAATGACTCGTGGTAGAAAAACATTTCTTAAATGTTTCAGGGAGAAATGAATGAATTTGACCACTTTAAAACTTAAAACTTATATGCAACATAAACACTGTAAACACTATTAAAAAGTGAGCCACAAGGGTGCCTGTGTGGCACATTTAAGCATCTGCCTGTGGCTCAGGTCATGATCTCAGGATCCTGGCATGGAGCTCTGCATTGGGCTCCTTGCTCAACGGGGAGAAAAATGGGCACATGTTATGAAGAGGCCTTTCAGGAAACCAGATACCTGCAGACGTGGAAACAGCGCTCATCCTTGGTGGGAATCACAGAAATGTGCGGTACATTTTAGCCACATGAGCATGGCCTAGGTGAAGCAGTGTGCCTCCTGGTGGGAGAGGGAGCTGGAATACCTGCTCTGCGCCACCCTCCACCCAGCATTTCCACCTGCAATCCCATGCTTTAGAAAAACTCTTGTACTGGTGCATGAAAGGACAGGTTCAAGGATGTTTGTTGCTGTATTGTTTGCATTAGCCAAAAATTTTATTTTATTTTATTTTATCAAAACCTTAGTGTTGAGCAAGAAAAAAAAAAGTTATGTTACATAGTTAAATCCTTTGGAACAGTTGAAATACATGCAGGAGAACCTCATTCAGCAGTGTGAGTAAATGTCCAGAACAGTGTTGAGCAATCAAAGCAACGTGCAAGGGCTGCTGTAACGTGCCAGCTTGTGTCAGTGCTTGAAAATGAGCCGATAATCCCTAAGCCACAGCTCTGCAAGCCAGGGGAACCCGGAAAACCTAGTTATTTTTGGCAGCAAAATCTGACCTGACCAGGCTCATTTGGTGCCTACCTCCTACCCCCCACCCTGCACCCTGCTCTCCAGGGAAGAGCAAGCACGGGGAGCTCCCTCCAGGCAGGGCAGCCCCCTGTGGCCTCAGCTCCCCTGCAGGCCCGTCTCCTCCTGCTTGGGCGCCCCTCCATCCCTTCGTGGACCTCCTGGCCTTGCCCACACCTATGCAGGTAGCCCCTCTCCAAACTCTTTGGGAAGCTCTGGGAGCCGTCAGGGGCGTCCCATTGCTGCCAGGCTCCTGGTGGAGAAGAGTCGTGCTCTTCTTG